CTTATTCAAATGAGAGACACTATATGGCATATAATCTTGTGTGTCTCATTTATTTCACTCATGATTGTATTTTTCAGGTGCATCCATTTTTCTACAAATGTCTCAAATTTCTCCTTCTTTAGAGCCAAGTAGCATTCCATTGTGCATAGATATTTATAGATATTACATTTTCTTTATCAAGTACTCTGTGGATTAGTACGTAGGGTGGTGCATCTAGGCCTTAACTATTCGTTGTCCTTCTATAAGCACTGATAGCCATGTATTGCTGTAGTATGGTGTCCTTACCTCTTTGGGGAAGATCCCTAGAGGAGGGAAGGGCAGCTCATAAATGGCATGCAATTCCTAATTTTGGTTTTTTGAGAAATCTGCATAATGATTTCCACAATGGTTGTACTAGTTTATATTCCCACCAACACTATAAGAAGGTTCCTTTGCAACACAGTCTTATTAACATTTGTTATTTTTTTGCTTCTTGATGATTGCTATTTTTTCTAGTATAAGGTGTAATCTTAGTGTTGTTTTAATTTGCATTTCTCTGATGGCCAAAAATGTGGAACATTTTTTCATACATTTGTTAGACATTTGGACTTTCACCTCTGAAAAGTATTCACTCATTCCACTCTCCCATTTCTTGATTGAGTCTTTTATTTTAAGTAGTCTATTTTTTATGGTTCTTTATATATTCTAGGTATTAATCTTTTGTCTAAAGAATAGCTGGTGGATTTATTTCAATTCTGTAAGTTGTATCTTTATTATCTTATTCTTTTTCTGTGCAAGAAATTTTTAATTTGATGTAATCCCATTTGTTGATTTTTGCTACTATTTCTTATGAATATATTATTTTGTTTAGGAAATCCTTTCCTACAACCATTACTTCCAAGAGTTTTACCCATTTTATCTCACAGTAGGTTTGATTTCATTTATTTATTTATTTATATTTTGTTACCAGGGATCAAACTCAGGACCTTGTGTTTGCCAGACAGGCACTTATGCCACTGAGCTATCTCCCTCAACCCCAAAACTAGTCAATTGGGGTTTTTCATTTTGTTTTGGTGCCAGGAATTAAACTCAGGACATTGCGTATGCCAGGAAGGCACTTGTGCTGCTGAGCTATACCCTTGGCCAATGTTTCTACTTTAATGTTTAGATATTTTATTTATTTTTATTTTAGTTTAGTATATGGTAATACATATGGGTCCAACTTCAATCTTCTGTAACTGTCACCCAGTTTTCCCATGACCATTTAGTGAACAGGCTATCTTTGCTCTGACCTATACTTTTGACTCCTTTGTCAAAGATCAAATAGTTAATTTGTGGTTCTGAGGAAACAGACAAGCAAACTTGAAATTCCTCCTGCCTCCCACCCCCATGTTCCACTCATAATTGAAACTTATAGAAATAGATTGTTCACTTGAGGTGTAAAATATTTTTGACTTCACTTTGAAGTTATTTAATGACCAGAAAAAGATGCAGTAATTGACTATAATTTTTTCTACCATATCAAAGTAAATAATTTATGCTTTCATTATCAGGACAGGCCTACAATGAATAAGAATTAATAGTCCACAGACTTTTTTAATGGTGTTAAAGAAAAGTGATATACACACTTTGGGAATTCGCATGGGAAGATTAAAAATATTCTTAGTAATACTTCATATTTAATATTCTAAAATTTTTGCAAATAAAAACCATAAACTTACCTGTCTTAGTTCCTTTGACATAGAGTGAGCACTTGGTTATGTGGTAGCTGTTACTTATACAGCAAAATTTCTTCAATTAGCAGCTAAAGCATTTTACAGGCTGAGAAATCTTGGACCAATGGGTAATATTTCTGATTTTATTCACACATTTTAGTAATATAAAATACTATGTGACTCACTTAAAAAATCTGACATTCTAAAAGGGTAGAGTTTAGCATCAAAAAAAAATCTGACATCCTACAACCTGCTGTAATAGATATAATGTTTCTTATAATGTCTTACTTTCACCTTAAGTGTTAATTTGATGGGAACTCTGCTTTAAAATCATCACTTACTGGGTTCTAATAAATTAAAAATCAAACTTAAAAAACAGCTGAATTGTCTGGGGATGTTTGTATCCTTTGTTCTGTTCCACTGATCCATATGTCTGTTTTTGTTTCTAAACCATTCTGATTTTGAAAATTAAAACTATCTGACAATATTCTTTTAAGCCACCATCCTTTCCTTTCTATGATAAAAAGTCACTGTCATTCATTCATTCAATATACCCGCTGTTCATCCAGTATTTCTAAACACTTCTCTATCTGTCTCTATCTCCCCTCCTTCCCTCTCTCTCTCTCTCTCTCTCTCTCTGTCTCTCTGTCTCTGTCTCTCTGTCTCTGTCTCTGTCTCTGTCTGTCTGTCTCTCTCTCTCTCTCTCTCTGTATGTGTCTGTCTGTCAGACTGTCTCTCTCTCTCTCTGTCTCTCTGTTTCTCTCTCTCTCTCTCCCTCGCTCTCTCCTTTAATGATTCACATAATATACTCTAGGGAAAAAAGTCCAAGATTAAATAACAGTATGTCTCAAAGCAGTTATACACTAAGCAATATGTCCAGAATGACAGCAGAATGAGGCATGAGAAAAAAAAATGCTATACTGGGATAGTTAAAATCTAGCTTTAATCACTAATAAGCCAAGTAAACTTGGCCTTAGTTTCTTCAGCTTTAATAAAGAACAGTTCTACTATGACTGATCTGTAAATTCTTTCTTCATTTTTATTTTGGACAGTTTTTCTTGTTATATTCAGTTATGTTTGTAAATAATTCATTTTCAATTTGCAATCTATTAAAAAATTTTTAAAAAGACATTCAGAGCAAAAGTGCTGTTCAATAAAGATAATGTATGTGAATAAAGTCTGTAAATTAGTTAATAATAAAAAAGAACAGTTCAGTATTCTCCTCACTCCCTCAAATCTATAAAGAACTAAATAGTTTTTAAAATACTTGAGTATATACAGTCAAATTTAAACAAATCATTAGCAATTTAAATTAAATGGATGTTGCTACAACACAATAAAACTTTAAAAATTAAAGAAACATTTCATTGACTTCCAGATTTAGACATTCTTAATCATCCACTTTTACTGTTTCAGCACTTATTTAAATTGTTTAGTTGGTAATTATTAGAGTACTTGGTAAATAAATTTGACAAAGTCATGCAATAATTACTTATACACTAAGATGTAATTTCTGTTCATTTATAAAATCAAGCTAAGGTTGTGAATAGCTAAACCTGTTTCAGAGAGTGGGGAGATAGTTCAGTGGCCTAAGAGCCTGCCTGGCAATTTCAAGGACCCATGTTCAATCCCTGGTACTGCATGCCATGCGGGCCTCAAAACCAGCGTGGTCACAAGCCTGTAATCTCAGTGCTGGGGAGGCTAAAAACAGGAGGATCACTATGATTCCAGGCTGCATAGTGAGACCCTGTACTAAATAAATAAATAAATAAATAAATAAATAAATAAATAAATAGTGTCATGCTAGCCCTGCCTAAGAGGCCATTGAGAATGGCCATGAAGGTGCATGCATGTAATCCTAGTGCTTGGGAGGCTGAAAACAGGAAGATCACTAGGAGTCCAATCTGTGTAGTTAGACTCTGTACACCCTGTACTACATAATAATAATAATAATAATAACAATAATAATAACTGTTTCAGGTGTTTGTCCTGTTGAAAAATAAATGTTTGAATCCCTTATAACTTAATTCCCCAAATTAAAAATGGTTTGAATCATCTTGTCTTCAAGAATAGCCCAATTTATACCAAAGAAAACTTCTAATCTTTATTTTACATAGATTCCATGTTAAAATATACTTACTGGAATTATATAGTTATTAATATAATAAATATTCTATCTTGGTACATGTTTATTTTCCTATCTACAGATAATATCTTCAGAATCAGACATCAAAGAATAATCTTCTTTGTCTAACTGTAACACTGAGAGTGTTTCTTCCCTAAGCTGTGAAACAGCAAGTTATCTTCTAAACTAAGATATATCTAGGGAAATAGGTCATTTTTAAGCGATTCTTCAGAAATGTTTCCATGAGCTAGAATCTCACAAACTTCTATCTTCCAACTTTCATCTGGTAGGAAATACTCCACATTCTAACAAGATTTGCAGTTGAATCGAGGGATGTAGAATTTATATGAACAAAGGCTTTTGTGTAGAGTGGACTGATAAAGCTTACAAACTTTTTAAATAAAAAATATGATATCTGAGTTATCAATTTGTTATGGCAGGACAGGATAGTTATTATTATGTTAGCACTAATAAAAAGACATTCAAAACCCTGATATACATGCAGCAAATATTAGAAAAGAATACTTTCTGATAAGTTTCCTCAGAAATACTTCTTTAAAGCTCTTCAACAAATAAAAATCATATGCAATAACCCTGTTAACAGTAACCTCTATGAAGAAAATGTGAAAATCTATCCCTACAATTAAGAATATATCCACTCTTAACACTTACTAGAGGGCATTCACTTTTGTTACACATTAGAAATATGACATAGACAGAATCTTAGCATATTTCCTCCACTGATGACAAACTATATTTCATTGTTGTTATTTAACTACATGGAAAAATAAATGAGGAATGAAGTTCATATCAATT